TCTGTGACTTAGAGGATTTGGTATTAAGACGGTTCCTCGTGAAGTGTTCACAACGATTTTTAAAAGAATACTGAAGCATTGTGGTGATGTGAATGTGATAGTGGTTTATTTATTTAGGTAATTTGGGAAAGGAAAAGGGATGTGATTCAGTGATAATATCAGTCATTTCAGATGTATTGTTTTGTTTACGTCTACAGTAATTGTGCTCGAGATAACGGCGAATATGAATGCGTATATTCTGAAACAGCGCATCCCAACCGAAGGAATCACCGTGAAAAAGTCTGAAGGAAAAGCGATTCTCTACCTGTGTAGTGGTCAGTTTTGATTGATTGATTCTTTCGGTTAGCGTGGTGATCTGCTTATCCACGCTATCCTGCCTGTTGTTGAAGAGCTGTAGTCTTGTTTCACATAGAGTAAACTGAATGAGTGTGTTTTCAGTTGACGGTACAAAACAGGTGACAATGAATCTGTTGTCGAATGATGAGCTACAACGTTGGTTGGAATCGTTTGCGATGTGTCCAAAACTAGTGATCGACGATTCGTGTTCGGGCGCCATATCACCCGCTCAACCGCAACGAATTGAAGTGGGCAGTGTACGAAGTGTGGTAAGTGAACGCAATTAATATGAAAATCGTCTTTTCACAATCTTTATTGAGTCGTCTGCTATTGAGTCAGTTGAAAGCGCTTAAGTCAAGATACAATGGTATCTCACTAATGAAAAAGGTTTTGCTTTTGGAATCACTGTTTTCCCGTAGAAATCTGCTCTGCTATCGTTTGCCAACTTAAGGTTACTTCAGTTTAATAGTCTACATTTTCTGCAATTTCATTGATTCACGATGAATACTAAAACTGCGTTCGCTTAGCGAGATTTTGCTTAGAACTGAATGGTTTCTGCAATAAGTGTTATCAATCTTTTGTTGAATATTGTTGATTATGGACAATTACATGTGTCATTGATTCAGCAAATTTCGCGCTATCTTCATGCATTCATTTCTGTCTTT